CATCCCGTCCAGCCTCACGTCCCAAGCCCTGCTTTTGTCAAATTGAACATGATGTCACATTAGAGCCATCTCTGGGACAGGCCAAGAGAAGCTCCCAGTTTAATGAGGCAGCGTCGAAAATCAATAACTTAATTGCCACTGTTTGATGGACTTTTATCCAATTTATACTCTCCCCAGCAGCCTACGTGCGGAGCATGAGGAGAAGTGTGTGTATGACTGGGGGCGGGGACCATCTGGGCAGGGGCTAGGGAGGGGCGAGGAGGGCACCAGGCCCACAGCCAACTACTTCCCAAAGGGGAAGCCGGGTGCTGCCATTCTCCTTCCCCAGGCACCAAGAGACACTGGCCTCTTAGTCCCGATAAACTTGGTTGTCCTTCTGGGCTGCCCCCTCAGACTCCCCCCCAATCCGGTGGCAAGATGGGGGTGTGTGAGGGAAGTGAGGGGGTGCCCAGGAAGGAGGCAGAATTCCCTTGAGAAATCCAGAGTGGGTAGAAAGACCCCTGCTTTGGGAATTAGGTGCCTGGTTTCCAGTCCTGGCTCTAACTCTGACTGTCATGACCTTACTTGGTGAACATGACCATGACCACCACCCGCTGAGAGACTGCTCTGAGCCTGTCTGTCCTGGGAGCTTAGAGCGCATTTCCTCATGAACCAAGGACTAGAATTTCCCCATTTTGCTGAAGAGGAAACAGATTCAGAGAAGCTGCCTTCCGCTGCCAGAGTCCTGCAGCTGGGAACCAGGGAAGGGAGATTCGAATCCAGATCCGACTCATGCTTGTGCTGTCACCAGGAAGGCCCGTGATCGGGAAGCAGGCTGGGACTCTGTGGGGATGGGGACTGCGAAGGGGCTGCCTCCAGTGATCCCCAGCCTGGGTCCCCTCTCCCAGCGTCCTTCGGGGTAGGGAGAGGTGAGGAAGACAGCTCAGCAGCCCCAGGTGACCCCTGTGTTGCTTGGTCCCCCGGGCCCAGGCACATCGGTGATGCAGGTGATGGCCTCGGACGCGGACGACCCGACTTACGGCAGCAGCGCCCGGCTGGCCTACAGCGTGCTGGACGGAGAGCACCACTTCACGGTGGACCCCAAGACCGGTGAGGGGCGTGGTC